TCCAGAGCAAGAGTGAGGCATATGCTGAAATTAGGCACGAATGTCGTAAACATAATATTGTATGGGTACGAATACTAGTATAATGTTCTACTTATTACCGAAGACGAAAATATGCGGAAATGCGCTGAAGGCTTCCCACCGTCGCCGCATAAAGAACGCAACGTCATAGAAGAAACTTGACATCATAGAATTGTGCATGACGTCACGTTACCATTACCCCGTTACCATAAGTCTGCCCTCGTAGGTAATAGAGTTCTAAGATGCTTTGCGGTAAGTACAATCGGAAAAAAGTACTTTATCAGACAATAAAGGTATAGTTTTTTCATGACGTAAACAAATTCAATGACGTTACCAGTTGTTTCACGCTCTCCCCTCGTAATGATACTAATCACGCTTGGCCACAGTAACTAAGGTTTACAGGCTCGGCCTACTTTTTGCAGGAGGTAGTTTCAGGTTTTAACAAGTCAATTTACTCTTCTAATTTGTCAACATGTTAATTATTAACTCCCTTAGCTTCTATTAGCCCGAGGTCATTGTGACGGTGAAAACAACATTATGACGTTATTACTTTGTTACGTCATTTCTTAGATTGCGAGCGCATGTTAGGGGACGGGAAGCCATCGCGTGAGATAGCATAAGTATATAAATATACAATTTATAATTAAAATTTCCAAATTTTTAAACTTATGCTATCTCACGGTATGCATTATCCACGGTTGAATGGTGGACCGCAGATTACCCTGTGTTTAATCCTATGAGGTCGCATAACACAAGGAGAGGAAGCACCAACTCCCTATATTTTAACTCCGAACTTGTGATGGGTTTCTTCCATATGATAAAAACCTTGGCTTACACGGCACAAATACCCTAGGGAGTGGGCGTTCCTGAATTAATGTGGTTTTCAATCGCAACTTTTGACAAGCAAAAGGACGCAGTTTGACAAGTAGACCTCGCCTCCCCATGATGTATCAGGAAGCCCCAGTGAATTAAAGTTGAAGACCTAAATCTGGCCAGCACCTGCTTCGAAACCATCCCCCCACAGCCACACACTGGAAGGCGGTGAAAGAGGGACCAGCCCGGTGCTCAACTCGTTTAACGTTCAGTACCAATCCACCACTTACCAAGGATAAGAAAGGCCTTAGGAGCGGAACGTTTCAAATACCATATAGGTAATCGGAAACTCACCACTTCGTTGAGGTAATTGCTCCGAGAGTAGAGGCCAACAAGCGGAGTGTCGACCACCTCTGCCATAAGTACAAGACTGGCCGCACAGTCTATCGAGTCATGAGTATGACAGTACTACCAGGCCCAGGTCAAGCTAGGTGAGGTAAACCCAAGGAAATCAAGACCAAGATAAAAGATAAGATCGATATCTTTTATTAAATACCTTATGCAAGACCGACGTGAAGCAGGAACTGCATCTTATCTACGTGTGCGAGCCGACTACAATTGCTGCGCCAGAACCAATGGACCCAGTTGGTGCAGACCTTCCATGTCACTGACAGACAGATCCCGGCGGTAGTGTGAGGCAAAGACCTCCAAAAGCACCCTCCATGATGACATGAAGGGAACTGTTTCTCTGTATCGCCATCGTAGATGCCAATGCTCTGGTTTCATGAGGGTTGATCATAGTAGGTGGAGGAAGGTCAGCATAGGCATAAGCACGCAGGATGGTGGATCGCATCCAGAATGCCAATGTGGTACGAGAGACCTCTGCAGATGAGGCAGTTAACATGGAATAAACAGTCTCTTGCATAACCGACGACGATCATTGGAGGCAGCTAAATAGACCCGTAAAGCCCGGACAGGACATAGTGAGAGATCCTCGGTGTCGTCAGGGCCCAAAATCGTAGACAGCAGCGGAATGGCGAACAGTCTGTCCGTCTGCCCAGGTAATTGGTTTTTGGCGACAAAATCCAAAAGCAAACCAAGGAAAACTTTGGCATGCCTGGTCCTGTCGAAGCACACCCGGGAGACATCCAGGACATGAAGCTCGGAGATGCGAGCAGCAGTTGCAAGAGCCAGAAGGAAGAAAGTCTTAAATATGACATGCTCGTAATCCTTTGCCACCAGAGGTTCATATTCCTCTGACGTGAGATGTCTAAGAAGCACGGCCAGGTTCCAAACTGGTGAACAGAACTTCCTTGGCTGATCAGCAACCTTGTAGGATCGCAGGAGAGACTGGAGCTCAGGGACACTCAACACCTTTACACCCATATAGCCGTGGCAATAAGTGTTTTAAGCGCAGGTAGATAAGTGGCGAAAGTTGAGCCCTTCAACTGCTTCGAAGTACAAAGATGCTGGAGATACTCAACAACCATCTGAGGCGACGCTGTAGTAGGAGATGTAGTACCCTTCAATATGCTTCGAAGCTCTTCCATTTGTCATCATAGAGTGACCGAGTGCAAGTACGGTGAGCTGTGGTGATAGCTGTAGCCACATGCTTGGAATACCCTTTTGCAATCAACTATATATGTAGATGCGGCAAGCGTGTAGATGCAGCGTGAGCAGGGACCAGGGGAGTTGGTCCGAGTGATGGTGAACCAGTAGGTCGGCGTGGTCAGGAAGTGGTACAGGGTTTGGGTCTGCCATTTCTTGCAGATCTTCGAACCAACTTTGAGGCAGCGAGTAGGCCACAACCAAAATCAGTGTCATCCGCTGGGTCATGCATAGCTTGAGAAGTACTCGGAGAAGAAGCACCACTGGCGGAAACACGTACCGGTACATTTTTGGCCTTCCCACGGAACGGAGAGGGCATCCTGTGTCCAAGCCAGAGGGCACGGGATTGGTGACACAAACTTTGGAAGCTGGGCATTGAAGAGCATCACAAAGAGCTCCACTGTCGGGCTCGACATCGGGAGGCACAGGGTCTGAAAGACTTGCGAATGTAGTTTCCACTCCACCGGCAGTGATCGAGCTGAGCAGGACAGGGAGTAGGCAAAAAAGTTCTTCGCCCCTGGAATGTGGTTGGCCCGTACCGTGATGTTGAGCGAATCCACCAAGTGGAAGAACTGCTGTGTCCAATGCAGGAGTTGAGTAGACCCCGTTGATCCCATGCGATTGATGTAACACACAACTACAGCAATGTCCGACCATGTTGCCAATGGTTGACTGCCAAGATGACTGCCCTGAGCTCTAAAACGTTGATGTGACATGCTTGGTCTGCAGAAGACCACAACCCTGTCACCTAAAAAGATCGAGGAGGTGAGCTCACCACCCTTGTAGAGAGGCGTCTATGTACAGGTGATGTACTGGAGCAAACAGCCTTAAAGTGACTCCGCCACCAACATTCAACTCGTCCAACCTCGACTGGAGATGGGGATGGAACACCGGAGGAAGTGAAATCAATGCGTGAGGATCGTCGATCCTGATGTGAGGACAGATAAACAACTGGAGAGGCTGAAGTTGAAGCTGTCCCCTGAGAGTCAAGGCCTAAGCTGACGTCAATAGACCCAGAGGCTCCTGCCACTGGCGAAGAGTCCTGGCTTGTGAGAGTTACGATGATAATTTTGCGGAACCGATCTTGAGGATAAACTGTAGGCGTGTGAGGACTTGTTGCAATTTCCGCGGATTCACGAGCCAACCTAATCAGTGAAGAAGCTGATTCATGAAAGACATATGACGAAGTAACAGGCGTTGATCGTTCTGTGACTGAATACAATCATCGATGTATGCCTCGAAGATGATTCCCTTGCGATGAAGGAACGATGATGAGCTTTGTAACACGTGTGAAAAGCCATGGGGACGAAGAAATGCCAAGCGGGACGACACGCCACTCCGAAGACAAACCGGAGATACTTGCGATGATCCGGCAGGATTGGAATATGAAGGTAGGCATCCTGTAGATCTAGGCTGATCATAAAGTCGCCCGGCTAGACGATAGTACGAAGGAGTGCCACTGAAATCATCTTGAAGTGAGGAGGTTGTTGAAGATACATGTCTTTGAAAACCTTCATATTGAATATTAGCCGGCGCTTGTCCAAGTCCTTTTATGGCACAAGGAATATGGAAGAGTAAAAGCCCGGATCGGTGGGAGCCGAGCCCAGGGATTCGATCACAATTTTCTGATTTAGTGTTTCTATTGTGGTGCGCAGGACGGCTGTCTGGGACGCAGAATAAGTCCTGTGAACCGGCAGAAGAGTCACAGGAGTGTGTGTGTGTGTGTGTGTGTGTGTGTGTGTGTGTGTGTGTGTGTGTGTGTGTGTGTGGTGTGTGTGTGTGTGTGTGTGTGTGTGTGTGTGTGTGTGTGTGTGTGTGTGTGTGTGTGTGTGTGTGTGTGTGTGTGTGTGTGTGTGTGTGTGTGTGTGTGTGTGTGTGTGTGTGTTTGTTTTTGCCGATTAATGGAGCCTGTGAAATAGTGACAAAAGTTGTCGTCCGAGGCTGCGATGGGGAGGTGTTGAAGAATCACAATTCGCTGCGAAAAATCAGACTGTTTTGTAAACGGACTGGAAGTTTGCAGACGAAACAGACAACGTAAATTACCTACCAGGGCCCACAAATCATGTTTTATTACCCTAATAAATTTATGGAATTTTGATGGGTCAATAGCCAAAGCATATGGAACCATGTAGGCGAATTTAACGGGTCACATCAGCCGTATGACCTGTGAAATCTGGTCACGTGAGACATTACCTTGACCTGAATAAAATGAGGAAGTTAAGTGGCCAGTTGTCATATATGTGTCTGCCTTTCGCTTATCATTTCATCAAAACTTTAGGACGGTTATTCTGAGTATCTCACGTTCTCTCCGATGAGACACTCAGAATCTTGTTCATACACCCAGATGTTTCTTGAAAAAATGCTTCTACTCTGTGGAACGCTTTGTCTATTGATTTCAGAGTTTCAAAGTTCATTTGAAAACGGGATTGTAGGACCCCTGTAAATGGTGACGCATTTCATTCGGCTGCGCCTCAGGAAATACGAAAAACGCCACATAACCAACAGGATAGTTAAAGTATGGGAACAGGTAATTTATCACGATGTTCATTAATACACATTACAATCAGAAATATATTTATTTCAAATGAACGAGTACTGTGACTATAATGACCAACAAAGTGCATTTTGAGGCTTATTCTAGCCCTCTGATGACTTCTTCCCTCAAGAATTGATACAGAATAACTGCCTCCTCTGCTGATGTTGCTTTCTGTTTGCCGTTTTCCTCTATCAAGAGCGTACACAACTCGTACACTGTCTCGTCGCAAGGCAAACCTTTGGGTGTGGTTTCTTCTGAACAAAGTCCAACAGTTTCTTGTGCTACATCACACAAGAAAGTGTGTGTTCCATACACTCCAGGGCAGTTGTACATCATGAAAGGTCGACCAGATGGTGAAGTTGATGTCCTTGATGATCTTACATGATGAGAGTTCCAAAGTTTGACAACTTGATCAAGCTCTGTCTGCAATAAAAAGAACATGAGTGTATGCAACACTTGTTTCAGTCTGTTTATCGATTCATAATGCTTTCGCTAAAGACTCAAGAATTGTGTCATTACTATGTCCTGAAAGACTATTTGCCCTTTCCGGTCACTCGTTTATTACTGCCTAATTTATCTGCTCAACTTTCTCTCACTGGTGGTTTGTAAACCCATCTTTTGCTTACGCACACGGTTTACTTGTTTCTCGTGATTATCAATCGCAGCTTCTTATATGCTTCTTATATGCGCTTCATGGGAAGGAATGTCTTTGCTCAGGTAAAGTTGGAGATGTTGTCAAAAATATACAGTCAAAACATTAAATGAATATACAGTTATCCGTTTCTGCAAAGGAAAATTCCAAACTGACGTTTATTTTGCTGCTTAGATATTCATTTTGTAAACAAAGAACTATCCAACTCTCAACTTTCAAAATGTATGAACCCGGACCCTTCAATATGTCAGCATTTGTAAAACTAATCGAAGTCTTACCTGAATTATTTCTGTAAAACAGAACTGTATCAAAGATTTATCCAGAAAATCTCCGCTGAAGGAGCCAACGTCTTTCAGCATGGAAAACGTATCCATCCAGTTTTGTGCGTTCATTCGCCGCAGAATTCCCCACCATTGTTCAATGCGTTGATTGTGATTGCTGGAACCAACCAGGAAAGAAATGTTTGCATACTGATCGTTGTGGTTTTGCCTCATGAACCTTTGCATGTCTCTCACATGCGTATTTTCAGTTCCTTTATCTGATCGAATACGCGCGGGACATCCTTTCCGGATTTGGACTTCTTGAATAAAGTATCCAGCCACTACTTTAGGGTCACTGCTTGTACAGTGAGCTTCCAACCACACGATATAGCGTGAAAATCCGTCTATTGCTCCATTGATACAAATTCCGTAAGGTTTGAGTTTATCGTAACTGTCAATGTGCCAAAGGAAATTTGGTCCACAGTTCAAGTACTCTCTCCTTTGTAGCCGATGACGCCGCCTTACAGCAACACCCACAGGATCCAAAATATGCAGCAACATACGCACAGTGTCCTGTGTGACAACAAGTCCCTCTTGTCTGCATTTTAGATGCATAAGTTTGTACCCCAGACGTTTGCCAGAGTTTTCCAGTTCATCTACTAGAAACAATGCTAGGTCAACAATGTCGCTAAAATGTTTACGACGAAACAAATTTCTACGTTTCATTACACGCATCAGAGTTCGCAGACTGATGATAATGTGATGTTGATGTGCCAAGCATTGTAATATCTCCTTGTTCGACAAACCAAGATGAAAATATAAACCGACCAGCTCCTCCATCCTTTCTGTGCAATAATGAATGAAACCCAAACATATGTAACAAGTTAAGTCCTAATTAGGAGATAGTATCACCTAATTAGGAGATAGCTAAGTCCTAATTAGGAGATAGTAACTCCTTATTAGGAGATAGTATCACCTAATTAGGAGATAGTAACTCCTAATTAGGAGATTGTATCTCCTAATTAGGAGATAGCTAAGTCCTAATTAGGAGATAGCTAAGTCCTAAATAGGAGATAGCTAAGTCCTAATTAGGAGATAGTATCACCTAATTAGGAGATAGTAACTCCTAATTAGGAGATAGTATCTCCTAATTAGGAGATAGCTAAGTCCTAATTAGGAGATAGTAAGTCCTAATTAGGAGATAGTAACTCCTAATTAGGAGATAGTATCACCTAATTAGGAGATAGCTAAGTCCTAATTAGGAGATAGCTAAGTCCTAATTAGGAGATAGTAACTCCTAATTAGGAGATAGTATCACCTAATTAGGAGATAGCTAAGTCCTAATTAGGAGATAGTAACTCCTAATTAGGAGATAGTATCACCTAATTAGGAGATAGCTAAGTCCTAATTAGGAGATAGTAACTCCTAATTAGGAGATAGTATCACCTAATTAGGAGATAGTAACTCCTAATTAGGTGATAAAAAAAATTCAGACTGTGGCACTAGGACGCTTCCGTACTGACCACCACTGCTTTTTCAACAGCTGTTTTTAAAGGAATTGCTGGTGAGTTTTCAATGCTTCATATAATATTAGATTATTGCTGTCACCTTCACAGTTCCAAGGGTGTCTCTGTACTACTCATGAATATTTGCCTACAAAACACAGTTTACTAATAAGACTTATTAGAATTTAGGAATTAAATAATTAACGAGTTCACAAATCAATTATCTATTAATTTCATTTGTACCATATAACCTTAAATATTTCTCATTTCACATTTCTCCTATCTTGATCATCGTATTTATTTCCTCCTTGGATAGGAGATTAGATGTTGATTACATCAAGGGACAGTGTTTTTCATCATGAATTATTAACAAATACTAAAACAAGGGGATACATCTTGAAAGCAATTGTTAAAAGGGGAAGGATCATTCAAATTACAGCACACACCCAAATGCAAATTATTAAAATGCGCTCCGCCCGTCCGCCCGTGCACATTCGTCTTTTCCGGAGCAGAACTTCAAAACCGTTCACTATTTCTTCACCAAACTTGGCACATAGATAGATCTGGTGGTGTACTGGTGCCTTTTGGTAGTTTGGGATTTCTGTATAAAATATTTTTTTGTGTGTTTCCATGGCAACAATTTCGACTTTGACTGAAATTGGTGGTAGTGTTCATTTCAGGAGCAGAACTGTAAAACCGTTCAATATTTTTCACCACAAATTGGTATATATATCAATCAGAACCTTAAGTGGTGCCTTGCCTATTTGCAGATTTTTGACATTTTTCTTTTTCTCGGTTCCATGGAAACGATTTGGACTTAGTCTTAAGAAGTAGGGGTGGGCTTCTTTTCCGGAGCAAAAATCGAAAACCTTTCATTATCTTTCAACAAATGTAGCAGATATATGAGACAGATCTTGAAGTGGTGCCTTTTGTTATTTCAAAGTTTAAGTATTTATATTTTTCATGATTTCCATGGAAACAATTTGGACTAAGTAAAAAAAAATCAAGTTGGACTATCAGTAACTGTCAGATGATTTGTTCTTTCAAATTTCTGGAGCCGGGGGGGATTTGTCATCTTTTGATGACTCTTGTTTTGATAAGTTATAGTAGTGAGTTTCACAAAAAATAGACCTGTCGTCAAACACTAAGCTGCAACTATATCTCTTCCATCCCTTTGTTTTTGTCTTGAACTTGCCCTTGCAATGGGCACAGACAGTGTCATCCATGGTTTCTTCTCTCAACTTTCAACCTTGAATACCAGTAAATAAAGTGCATATCAATGTTAATTATTAATTATCACTTTAATTTAACATGAGTTTAAACATATACCTTCAAAAGAATAAACTTCATGCACAATTTCATATCCTTATCATTGTTAATGTTCTCAATAAACATCTAATTGCACCTTGAAAAGCAGACTTTCTAAACTAACACTTCATTGATAATTTGCAAAGCCTGCTATTTTTGCTGTCAAAAGATAAGAGGTACTGTAATGTTTGCAAATGAATTTTCTTCAGTTGCCCTAACAAATAAAAGCCTTCTGTCCAATGGTGTATGCACAAGAGTTTAAGTATGATATTTGGCATTGTGCTGTAATTTGAATGATCCCCTCATTCAACAATTGATTTATTGATGTATCCCCTTATTTTAGTATTTGTTTATAATTCATGATGACAAATAACACTTTTTGGCCACTTGGTTGCTAATATGGAAATGAAAAGATGATTTTGGCAAGGTTTGTAGCTGGTGCTTGAGACCTAATACAACATGGAAATATTTAAAATATTATTCAAGGTAGGAGAGTTGTAAACTGAGAAATATTTAAGGTTTTTGGGTATACATGAAATTTATAGATAATTAATTCGTGAACTCATTAATTATTTAAGTCCTAAATTCAATTAATTTTATATTATATGAAGCATTGAAAACTCACCAGCAATTCCTTTGAAAACAGCTGTTGAAAAAGCAGGGGTGGTCAGTCAGTCTAGATTGGAAACGAAAATCTCCATACAATCGTTTTAATTGCCTAAAATGTATGAAAATGTGTTGTCAACAAGCAACGAGGTATGGAACACGTGTGTTACTATTTTTGGGAGGGATATCCCCTTCGCGTCACAGGTCACGTGATTCAGAATGGCCCCGCTCATATGTGAGCGATCGACTGAGATGTTTGATGGCTTGTAAAGATATATTTTTGGATATTTTGATAACGAAAATAGGGCGCACGTGTAGGTATAAGTACAAAGAAGTAATTCATATAAGTTTTTCGTGCGCAAAAATCGTAACGAGTGCGCGAAAGTGCGACAAAGGATTTCCATCACTGCGGCCTATGGAGGTGCTGCATAGCGTTCATGTCAGTGAACGCTATATATCTTAGCTACAGGTTACCACAGTCTACGTGTGTACGTACTATCAGTAGGGCTGCAACGATTCACCCAGACTTCGATTCGATTCGGTTTTCGATATTGGACCCTCGATTCGATCACTTTCGATTCGATTCTTCATACAAGTAAAAACATCAGATTTCATTTAACCTCCGAGTCGGCTTTTCTAGAATGAAATCAACCGTCATCTTGACGATGTCTACCAACAACAAATCTCATTGGATAATTAGCCCCGCGTCAACCAATGACGTTTCTCCTTATTTCAGCGCACGAAACTGCTAGAGTTCGAGTCACAATTACGCTGTGTGGAAATCATTTTAATAGGTATTCAAATATCGAATCGAAATAGTGATAATGTTTATCGAAAATCGAAACTAAAGTGTCATATTCGATTTTCGATGAATCGAACCGAATCGTTGCAGCCCTAACTATCAGGTGATGGAGGGCATGGAAGGGAAAACATCTCAGCCTGAAACCGGAGAACTGGGGTTGGCACATTGTGGATGGAAGATGTCCGTCAATACAAACCGATCCGCCACCAGAACTACCAGAACTGCTGGGTGTCATTTACTGCAGCTGCAAGAAGGATTGCAACACAAAGAGATGTCTGTGCAGGAAGTATGGCCTGCATTGCGCCACCATGTGCAGAGAATGTCGTGGTACAAGTTGCAGAAATGCCCAGTTGCCTGATTTATCGGAAAATGATGAAAATAACGTTTGAATTGTGACATTGACACTTCAGTCAGAACTATTCATTTCAACATCAATTGTTTGTTACAGAAGATATTCTGATTTATTTAAGGATCTCTATCCCATGATACATGTACAATCATACTGTGGATGTATGTACATCAGTAAACTGATATTCGGACATATTGTGTTTGTGTAATTTAAGGTTGGGAAATGCGATAACTCAAAAATATAGCCTAAGGAGCATAAGTTTGGTCTAATTTCGTAACAATTTGAAGTTCATATTTGGCATTTTGAAATTAACTTCACACCAATTCTTTTGGAATATACCCTAGAATCGTGGTAGAGTCTAAATACACTATGTGCGAACTTTATATGACGTACATGCCATGTTTTAATGCCATAAAGTTGGGAATCTTTTAATTTTTGGTGGCCATTTTAGACTTTCTGCAAGGAATTGAGCAAATCATGTTACAACATATTTTACGTGAATCCTTGCCGCCAAAAAAGCCAGTTTCAGAACTTAAATCATTCAAATGTGTCTTCTGAGAGCAGATATATCATAAATTATTGATATTTGGCGGCCATATTGAATTTAACAAATTTCCCACGCTGCGATTCCTTAGGACTTCTGGTATGGTGCTCTAAGGACCTCATAGAAATACACTGTAGTAAATACATTTCTGCTACAATTTGTTCCAAGTTGAGTTCTAAATTGGCCTAGAATGCCTGGACTAAATCGCCCCAAGCAATAATAGCAATACTTAAGAATTATTACGAAATCAGCTCAGGACAACCCGTTACACGTCAGTTGGCTCAAAATGCAGAGCGCGCACTCCACACATCTCCCCACACGGTAATGGCTGCTGATCATTCACGTCTGGCTCCACTTACTATTCTTACGGTTTACGTTGAATTAAAAGGATATTTTCAATCTTCTGCAAAATAACTTTATGACCATGTTCATAATTTATGGATAGGGGGGAGGTGATGAACAATTTAAGGGGGAGGTAGTCACAAGCATGGGTTGCTGAAAACCAATTCTAACCCGGATTTTCCCGGGTTCTATATCAGGAAACCCCTCACTACTTTCTCTTCCCCACCCGTGACGATCCGGGTCAGGATTGGTCTTCAGTAACCCATGCTTGTCGTAAGAGACGACTAACGGGATAGGGTGGTCAGGCTCGCTGACTGGGCTGACACATGTCAGTGGCGTAGATCGATGTTCATGCTGTTGATACCTGGATTGTCTGGTCAAGACTCGATTATTTACAGACCGCTGCCATATAGTGGGAATATTGCTGAGTGCGGCGTAAAACTAAACTCACTCACTCACTCAATCATCCTTTAGGGGTGGTGATGAGGAAAGACCTCTGCCCTGTCCGAAATACTTGAAAAATAAGGTTATTTTTTCCATTTGTTAAACAACAAACTAACAGCCAACTTGATATGTAGGCCGCTCTTGAATTTGATACATATAGATTCACGCTTTTTTGGGGGGCAAATTTCACGCAAACGACAATATACAATAATCGCGAAATGCTAACATTAACTATTACATCAGGTTTATTAAACTGAACATTTTTAAAGTTTCTTTCCTGCTTTTATGCATGCCATTTGCGCACACTGTAGGACAGTGCAGTACACTAACGCATAGTCTCTGAATATATATAACTTTGTTAGTAACAAACAAACCCATTTAAATTAAAAAGGAGCCCCAGGGAGACCAGGGCCTAGATTTTCGAAGCTCTCTTAGCGCTAAGATAGTTGTAAGTTAATGTTAATGTAAGGCACTTACGACTATCTTAGCGCTAAGAGAGCTTCGAAAATCTAGGCCCAGAGATTCAGAACCTGAGGAAATCTAGACTTGCTTCCTATAGAGATTTAGCATTGCAGAGAGGGCTTGGCAGTAGGGGAAATAATGTGGTTCAGGGACTGTGAGACAGACTAGACTGCGGAGGTGTCTGTTGCCATGTATGATGCTCGTTTGATGGCTGCCGTGGTCATTGACTCATAGCCCAGTGAACCTTTACCCCTGCTGTCACAAGTGTTTCGATGTTATCTTGTTACATTGGACACGGGATCGAGTGAGGTAATACGGTCATGTCATAACTGGCCTAGTCAGCGAGTGAAAGTTCTGGTTATCTGATGACCTCGTGAAAATCCGGGTTAGAAATGCTAGTCGTAAAAGCAACCAACGGGATCGGGTGGTCAGGCTCGCTGACTTGGTAGTTTTTTTTGTTTGTTTTTTGTTTTTGCTTTCGCTAAAATATACTCATAGAACTTAATTAAGTACCCCTGTATTTTTACAATGATAGATTTTCCTGGTGACCACGATGGAAAAACATGAGTTTTTTCTGACTCATATAAAAGGACAAAATTATTGGAATCCATGTTGATTTTATGATGATTTAAAACACACACTGATTTTCATACAAAACCTTGTCTGTACAAGTATGAACCTGGAGTGTTTAATGTTGAATTTATTGGTGAATGTGAACATTCAAAATGTCATTTTGCGTGTCTTACACGATTCAAGGTAAATACCGAGTGTAACCTCCTTGTGACTTATGACAGCCAGCACTCTCCTCCTCATACCCCCTGCCAACCTCCTGATCCTCTGAAAGGGCAGTCTATGCCATTCTTCATGTAAAGCAGCTTCCATCTGGGACAGGTTCTGTACAGGAGGATCCCTTTGTTACACACGACGATCATTCAAGACCCAGATATGCCCCAAAGGGTTAAGATTGGGGCCCATTCAATCATGAGATATGTCAGGGGGTGCTTAACTAAGTTCTTTGTGTATATGTTATATGTATAAGATGGTATGCAAAAAGGATACATAAAACTGGGGGACGGCAAATTATGATGCAGTCCCCAGATCAAACTCATCATGTGACAACTTCTAAATTATGTTTCCCATTTATTTTGGAAAGCTGGGTGTTTTTTTTAAGCAAACACATTTTGTTTCATGAGGAAAGATTTCCGCCCGTAAACCCCGAGTAATTTTTATCATTCTATGCCTAAGAATAGCTGGGTTTTTTTTTAATTTCATATTGTTCGAAATTGTATGAAGATATTTCATTTGTTTCTTTATTGTCGAGTTTACTTTTCCTTTAATTTTATTTTTCACTGCAACACCTATTTACATTTTGACATTTCAAGCGGGGGTTACGGGGGAACTCCTACCCTTGCACCGTCATCTTAGCTTGATAACGGTTTACGCCGCTCTGTTCATCAAGCAAGAAGGCGTTATCTATGTAAGTCATCACATTCTGTAATACCGATCTTATAATTGATAAAGACGTAACAATCTTATTGCCATACTTCACATTTCCTCCGATACTGTACCGGTGATTCAGTAAACAACGACCCATAATATTACTTCCAGGCATTGTTTTGCGTAAGGTTGAAAGAAATATGCAACTGTGAATAAATTACTAGTTTTCCAATCTGTCGATTTATAGTTCATTTTTTGAAAATACACTCCTCTTGAAGGACGCAGCTGTCTAAAGCAAAAAGTACCCCATCACCCTTGAGTGAGTGAGTGACTGACTGACTAAGTATGGTTTTACGCCGTTTTTAGCAATATTCCAGCAATATCATGGCGGGGGACACCAGAAATGGGCTTCACAAATTGTACCCATGTGGGAGTGAGTGAGTTTAGTTTTACTCCGCACTCAGCAATATTCAAGCTATATGGCGTCGTCCCATCAACATTGACATCAACTGCTGGAAATTATGCATGCACGCGTGCAAACGTAACACTGAAAACGTAACACTGACATAACGTGATAAAATGATATACTTACACGGAGACGATTCTGACGACCCTGGTTCCGAAATTAAACGTTATTTGTCCATTGATTAAAGCGAACGCACTAGACACGCTGGAGGCGACGTTGAACACCAGATCCATGCGCCTCTCCTGAAGGGCACAATAGACGTCATGTAAGCCGCCATCATGCAGAATTTGCGACTGGTTTTCCACTGTCGCTAAAATTGAATCATTTACAGAAATCTGCACGTCACACAGATCGAGGTAAATCTCTTCCGTTTTGAAGATGTACACCAATGACGCCCACCCACATGGTAATCCAGCGAACAGGAAACATTCCAGCGTTGACCATACGAGAAATAAAACCGCCTTCCATGATGGTACGGCGTCGTAACCATTTTGTGGCTTGTCGTTTCCACTTTGTGGCTTGTCGTAACCACTTTGTGGCTTGTCGCACACATTTGAAAGAAAAGAAGACTCCATGACAATGTACTTGGTATTCGTGCCCAACCTCAGCACGTATTCTCGATGCAGCCACAAATCTGGTCAAACGGGCTGTGGCCCTGTTCCTGTTTGGTATGGGTTTCACAACGAGCTAGTCAACGTGACCATGTGACGTTAGTGTCGTGTGGTTGTCAATTTCAAAACACTGCATGGGGTTAACCTATAATCCTGCACGTGCAACGTTCATATTTTACGACGATTCAATATGGCTGGGAATATTTTCCCATGTGAAAAATGTAAAGTCCGTGTTTCTTGCGCTGTGTTCTTTCATTTGGCCGCTGTAGGTTGGTATACCTCACTTGAACAGTCTTTCTGCATTCTCACGGCGTGGAGGGAAAGCTTAAAGTGAAGCAAGTCAGCTGGTTGTTTGTAAGTTTCTTTGTTTGTTGCTTAATGACACATATTCAAAATACATATCAGTGGCTTGTAAATGACCGAGTCAAGACCATACAAAAAAGGTGTGAGTGAGTGTGGTTTTATGCCGCTTTTAGCAATATTGCAGTAATATCACGGCGGTGGACGCCCGAATTGGGCTTCACACATTGTACCCATATGGGTAATCGAACCCGGGTCTTCAGCGTGATGAGCAAACGCTTCAACCATTAGGCTACCCTCACCTTCCCATTACCAGCAGAACGGCCGCAAGGTGCCATAAACGTCTCCACGTCTCGCCAATACTAAAATATGCACCGGGCAAGTGCTTCTGGCATTCTGGCATCCACGGTTTTGCTTAAGGTCTCAGACTGGGTCAAATGTAAAATCAGATAAGGGTCCAAAAGATCCAATGACTAGCATGCTGAAAACAACCGAACATGCGTCCATATAAGATGACGTACAATCAACTACGTCATCAAAACTATCGACCTCCTCGATACGGTCGCCTCTCACTTTAAGCCTGTTACTGTGTCACTGAGGACGTGTACCTGCTTGGAGTGAGTGAGTGAGTTTAGTTTTACGCCACACGTAGCAATATTCCAGCTATATGGCGGAAGTCTGTAAATAATCGAGTCTAGACTTGACAATCCAGTGATCAACATCATGAGCATCGATCTACGCAATTGTATCTGCTAGGAAACAAGTAACATGATTCCAACAGATATATAGCAGACTGCCTTATAACGAACTCGCTTTGTCCCGACCACTCTCTGTACATGTTATTCTAAATGCGTTTAACGAACAACAGTTTTTACGAACTAAAAATGGTGGCCCCTGTCAGTTGGTTGTAACCGTGGTTAACTGTAGGGGCGGTGGGGTAGCCCAGTGGTTAAATCGTTGGGTCGTCACGCCGAAGACCCGGGTTCGATTCCCCACATGGGCACAATGTGTTAAGCCCATTTCTGGTGTCCCCGCCGTGATATTGCTGGAATAGTGCTAAAAGCGGCGTAAAACTAAACTCAGTCAGTCAGTGGTTAACTGTATTATAACTTATGGCAATGACAACTATCGGGGCCAGGAGAGAGTGAGTGAGTTGAGTTTTACATAGGTTTATTCCAGCATTATCACGGCAGGGGAGACCAGAAATGGGCTTCACACATTGTGTCCATGTGGGGAATCGAACCCGTGTCTTCAGCGTGACAAGCGAACGCTTTTACCACTAAGCTACCCCACCAACCCGGCGACCGGGAGAGATGAAACGCAAGTATATCTGCATTGATGAATCATGGAATAATTTTACATCTGACAATATCAACGAAATATTCCTAAAAGCAATCATAAGACACGAAAGGCGACAGGTTGTAAAACCTTTTGTCAACTATTAGAGTTTTCGACAGTCAAAGAAACTCAGGAAAATGCTTTTAGGGAAAGAATTCCGATCGTTCCTGTCACAATATTTTGGTGGCCAGGGTTAGTTTCCGTAATATGTATTATTTATTTTTAATAATAGTGTATTTAAATTGTAAATTTCTGCTAACAAAGGAATACTGTGCCCATTTTCGTTTTCAATTTTGTTTTGTTGTTGTTTTACTGCAAGTAATTATGCAAGTATCATTATACCAACTATAGTCTATATTCACTCGCTAGTTCATTCAACGAAGCTCAGTAAGAAAATAACTTCTCGCAAAAATATTTAACGGCACGTCCCGCAAGCAGACTATGCAAGGATTAGAGTAGCTGGCCTTTGGCCATGGAAGCTCCGTAACAGCGCGTGTTACCTCGTTACGATCCCGTAAAAGCCGGCTCCGCGATCCTAAATCGCTGTGAAGAGCTTGATATTAACCAATCATGAATCAGTGTGTAACGCACATCGCCAGGCAACAAAGAAAACAAACGATCTCAAATTATTTATTGAAAACGAGTATTCAATCAGAACAGCCGTTTACACAGGTAGGTAAACATTTTATGTCTGACTAGTTTCATGCAAGTAACGGATATACTATCATCTCATTTAGGAATTCTTGACAATGACAGTGACTGCTGAACAGTGAACAGGAAATTACGTTGTCAGTTTGGACTGTATGATATTCAGAAGTGAACGTCCAAATATTCGGTTCGTAAATACTCAGAAGTATTAATCAGAAAAAGTAGCGACGAAGAGAATTTACCTTGGTTCCCATGGTGATGCTTCATAGGCGTCAACACGGGCTAAACCGTCCTACATTTTCTGGTCGAATCTCTAAATATAAAATAGATCGAGAAATACTCCATTGTGATTCTAGGGCCATTGGATTGGTCATGTACAGAGACAGAATACCACTTTCTCAACAAGACTGGTATTCTGTTATTGCAGGTGGCAAGTATTTGTAGGAATATAAATTAAGGCACATGGGTACACCTACAGAATACCGGATACCTACCAGCCATGTTTAGTGTCACATCACCCGAACCCGAACCCAAACGCTAACCCTAACCCTAAACCTTACCCTAACCCTTACCCTAACCCTAAACCTTACCCTAACCCTAAGTAAACTTGCGTGCTTTCAAAGATGGCGGAAGGTATCCGGTATTCTGTAGTCTTACAATATCAATACTTCGTTGATATTGTCAGACTACAGTCCCTGAAACAAATCCCTTCAGCATCCCAGCTAGGATTAGTGTAAAATGTAAACATGTTGATTTTGAGATTACAAGAATCTAGGCAGATATAGTAATACTATGTTTATAACTGTAAATAGAAATAGAAATATTTACAGTTATAAACATAGTATTACTATATCTGCCTAGATTCTTGTAATCTCAAAATAAACATGTTTACATTTTACACTAATCCTAGCTGGGATGCTGCAGGGATTTGTTTCAGGGACTGTCCTTCACTTAAACATCACTATCACTTTTATTTACAATTATTGTCATGTCATCTATGGCACTTTAATTCGCAGAACTTTCAGTTCAAGTCAAGTAGATGCAGTCAATGATTCCTGAGTCATTATATTTTTTCTTGTGTTAACAGATGTATTTTGCTTGATTCTATCTAAACTATTACTCACAGAAGTTATTTTGGGATGTATATATCACAGCTAAGTTTGAAACATAGGTAATATGTATCTCATAAGTGGCATTTGCCAAACTCTATCCAGTATGTCATTCATATCAGTATTTGTGTTTGCATAGTTTCGTACATGAGAAAGCATTCATATTGGCAATAGCCATGGTTACCAATGTGCTATCTGATGTTTAGATTTTAAAACCACACTCCAAATAATGCAGTAAATCATGGCGATTCAGTCAAATGTTAAAAAATGCAGTATTTATGGTGTACCTAATTTTCAGGTCATTTAGAGATCTACAGTATTTTTGCTTTGCCTTGAATAACTAAGGATTATGTCACAGAACAGGGGTTTCCTGTGAAATTCCAAACTAAAGTGTGCATGCAGGGGTGGAAATAACCCATTGCCCGACGTCCGAGACCAGTGTTTTTTTCTGTTGGGCAAGCAAATTTGTATATTACACTGTACCGGTGTCCAGTTGACTTTCCAACGTTAATTATGTTGTTTATGTAAAAAATCAACAAGAAAACGGCTGGTATAGTGGAAAAAATATCAGGGAAAGTGATTTTACATGTGCCACTGTACCGGAGTACAGTAGCCATTTTAAAGTTATTTCCACCCCTGGCATGATGTATTTTGACTACTTTCCATTTAGTGAGGCTTAGGATAAGAATGTATTACTGTGGAATCCAGTGAATTAATCAGTTGAACATATTCTGATTGTTATCTCTGAACAGCATGTAGACAGACAGACAGAAAACCCCAGAAATAGTGATCTTATTTAAAATTGTGGAAAAATATATTTAAGTCCAAAAATCCAAATGGTGCTCTACAAATCCTACATTTCTGGAGCAGAAGCAATCTAAAGTTGTCAAATCATTGAGGACATGAGTAGGACTACTATATAATTTATTCTTGAGGGTCTGGGAGAGACAAAGTGTGTGCTCATATGTGAGAGTAATGGACTGTCATCCCCAAACACAAGCATACCCAGTATATTGAATTTTGTTCTTGTAAATACAGACCCGTGAAGGTCCGGGTTAGAATATTGATCTTCAGTAACCCATGCTTGTCGTAAGAGGGGACTAACGGGATCGGGTGGTCAGGCTCGCTGACTTGGTTGACACATGTATCCCAACTGCGTAGATCGATGCTCATGCTGTTGATCACTGGATTGTCTGGTCCAGACTAAATTATTTACAGACCGCCGCCATATAGCTGAAATATTCCTGAGTGCGGCGTAAAACTAAACTCACTCGCTCACTCTTGTAAATACATGGTCTGCAGTGATAGTTTCACAGATTGTTTTAAGAATATAGACAATCCCATAATATTCTGTGTCTTTGAGTTCTGCCAACTTTATTATCTGCAAATTAAGAAACAGAAGTCTGGTAGTGGGCATGGGCAATACATATTGTTCAAAGTGCACCAAACTGTAATTTTTTCAAGCATTAATGCCTGGCTAATTGTACAATTATCCCATCTGCAGCTACAATAATCAAATAATGGCAGACTAAAGGATTTATACATAATGAATAGTTTTTTTCCTGATAATCTGTATTTGTAACTCCTTAAATAATGTATCGTAAGTGAAACTGTATGAGGTACAGAATGTATCTGTGAGGTCCAATTTGCGTCTCTCTGAAACCAGAGGCCTAAATGTTTGTGCTCGGAATAATAAATATTTTTGCATAAATAATCTTGGACTAGTTAAAATCATTTCACAAATATCACTAATTGAGCATTTCCTGAAGTCTCCCAAGAGAATTCAAATTATACCATATCAATGTATCTCAATTACATACAGATGTCACTAATGTCACCAATTGAGCATTTCCTCAAATCCTCCAAAAAATTCAAATAATACCATATCAATGTACATGTTTCTCACTTTAATACACATTCCACTAATTTCACTAATTGAGCATTTTGTTGAAACAAACTGTGGCTCATCTGGACGCAGAGTTATCAAAACACTAACCCTATAGTCAGCCAAATCCCACACTGGCTATGTGAGAGACCTGTTTTGACGGAATCTGGGTAAGTGAGAGGACACCATTTAGCCTTGGGTTATGATTCCCATTGAAAATATATCAGATTATTGATCTTTTTAGCCAGCCCTAATACCAATATATTGCTTTTTGTTTTGATGGTATCGTTCAACCATGTTTATCACTAATGTCAGCTATCATTGAATAGTAATATTAGTTACCATTCAGCCATGTGTTTAAGTTATTCAACCATGCTATCTATTATTCAACCATGTTGATCAATCAACACATGCAACCATGTTTATTGTTTCAGATTTATTGTCCCTTGTGATCAGTAATAATGACGGAAACTGCACCACAGCCCAAGTCGATGATGCGGGGAAAGAAGTGGTGTGAGGAGGTTGAGGAGGCATACCGATTCCAGCTGGCTGGATATCGTGACGCAGCTGAATACAAGACATTCCACAATACTGACGTCGTGAGTTACCCACCAGAGTGCCCTTATACAAAAACAATGTTAACACTATAGAGACCGTAACTCTCATTCCTTAACGTAGTAATACAACAGTCTCAACACTAAGGTTGTTTTGTAGTAAATTTGTACAACCGCAACCAGGGACAGCCAGGGGTCCAAAGGTACGCTTTTCAGAGTTCTGTCCCTTAACCATACCAGGATTTCATGGTTGAGAGTTTTCATTTCCCATTCAGCTTGATTAGGAATGTTTAGGAGTGTCATAACTGTGTATGTGGGTTTCTGACCTGGGAAAGAGTTCCATTTCTTTCTTCCGCAGATTACCAAAGGTAACGCAATGTGGTTCGACCCTATATATTGTAATTAGTTTTGGGTTTTGGGTTATTTTTGTGAGTTTTCTAATAATTGTTGTGTTAGGTTTTGTTAATAATTTTAGTATATATTAATTTATAAATATTATTTGGGATGGGGGGAACGGGAGGAACTCTTACCCTGACCTGCATGACTGGAGAACTATCGTCAACATTAGGCCAACGTACTATGATGCTACTGTAACAGTGATTACAATGGCTCACAGGGGCGGTGGGGTAGCCTAGTGGTTAAAGCGTTCACTCGTCACGCCGAAGGCCCGGGGTTCGATTCCCCACATGGGTACAATGTGTGAAGCCCATTTTTGGTGTCCCCAGCCGTGATATTGCTGGAATGTTGCTAAAAGCGGCGTAAAACCAAACTCACTCACTAAAATGGCTCATAACACAATTCACTGTCTAGATCATCGGAAGAAGGCACAGTTCAAAGTTTGTCATGGATTAGAACAATGTTAGATTCTCTTGGTACATCAGTCAGAGAGGCAGTCAGATGCAGTGATGTATTAGTCTTAGGGCAGGAAAAGGGAAAATTGTCCATAGCAGTCATTATGTCAAGTAGTGCCTTATGTAGACTAACATCTAACCTCTGAAATGAACATATTCTAAAGAAAAAAACTGTTCATAAAACATAATCATAGAATATAAAATGAAAAGAAACTCAGAGTCTTTCTTCATTTTCAGACTGTTGAAATCTATACAAGCCACATATTCTAGACTTGCATGGGCTTTTTGGATATATTTGTTTCAGGGTCTGTAAGACAGATTATGCCTCATGTCACAAATATTTTTATGTGAACAAGAGAGTATCAGAGCTGATGTCTCAGCTTGAGATCAGGAAAGCCCACTCTTTCTGTTTTCTAAGAAATGAAGACATTACTGATTGTTGGTCCTTCATGTACATATGTTGAAAGAAGACTCAGATTTAATTCACTTGGGACAGATAAACCATACTTTCTTGGTGCTTGCAGATTATGCACTTATTATTCTTGGCTTTTAGTGAATAACTGTGAGTGAGTTAAGTTTTACGCTTTTAGCAATATTTCATCAATGTCATGGGGATCACAGCGGGGTACCAGAAAAGTGTTTCACACATTGTACCCATGTGGAGAATCAAACCCGGGTCTTCGGTGTGATGAGCGAACACTTTTACCACTAAGCTACCCGGGGCACCGCCCCTCAAACTATTTGAAATTGATACAGGTTATTATTCAGTCAAAGTATGTTAATTTGTTATCTTTAGCTTCTCATCATGATATTGCTGAAATGTTGTCAGTGTAACTTACGTTTTTACTCACTCACTCAGTCACTCATTCTTGAATTGAAAAGTCACCATTAGCTTATTTAAACTAAAATAAAACATTCTGTTAGGATATATATAAAGCAGTGATTACATATATCTTGCCTTATAAACTTTTGTTTTGTTTCCAGGTAGACAGGTGGCCACACAATGGTTTCGTGAAGAAACTGGTCCGGCGTGATGGCTGCTTCTACTATTACAACAAGGACAGAGAGTGTCCTGACAAGGATGTCTCCAAGATAAAGCTTTACCAGTACTAGATCTGTGGCAATCTTCATCAAGGCATTGTACATAGTGCATGCATAGCCGTTCGTCATCCGTTCCTCAACCTATCTGTTTATGATGCATGGTGCTTGAAGAGAACTTCACATGATGAAACTGTTACATTTCCCCCTCATTGTCATAAATGGTGAAAGGTGTGATTGGTTGCTGGTTTGACTGTCATTCTGTGATATATACATGTATGCATCCTGGTCACAGGGCCACCTGTTCTGATCTCATGGGAGATGGTTGTGGTGCTGATTGTGATATGCATGTTTTGCTGACTAAGTCAAACAATCCACATTGTATAATAATTGACTTTGTTTGTGGTTTGACGGTTATGTGTTCAAGGAATGTAGCAAAAGAGAGGTGTGTTTTGGAGAATTTTCGCTGTTTAATAAGAAGCTTATGTACAGTTTTATTGATCGCCATTTTAAATCTTCTAGAATCAATAGCTTCAGAAGATGTAAATATGTGCAATTCGGAATGAGAAAGGAGAGGTGATGATCAGTTATCAATCAATATTCAGTCTGTTATAAGCATTATGCATTGTACCAAAGTCAGTTACTTTAACAGGCTTTAAAATATTATCTTGTGATTACTCAAATTTACGTCTTGAAATGAAAAGAAACATGTAAAGCATAATTCATTCTTTGCCAAACTGTAATAAATTGTACATTCCATTTCAACTGAAATAAACTTGACACAACTGATTTTCACACTGGTTGATTTGTTCTTTATACATACACCTAAACAGAGGAAATGATTAACACAGCAAGTGTTTTTTATTTTTATAACTTTATTTCTTTTCATCGGTACATGTTTTACAATAAATGGATAGTTGATACAGTTTAACACACATAGTACATGTATCTAATCAAAATGGGTATGACAATTCAGTAGCTGACGGTTATGCTTTTTACAGGAGATGTATTGCTCAGGTAAATAGGCAATGACATATTGACCAGTATTTCATGAATTTGGTGTAATCACAAGTTAAGGATGAGATATGTCTGTCTATATGATATGTATTGGTTATACATGTATCTCTTTTGATATATTGGAAATGTGGTGGTCGTTTCGATATTTTGCTTTTAAAAATGTTGAATTTAGTTGTATTTATTATCAGATTTACAACATCATTTCGCTTTTCATAATAGCCAAATAGGATATGTTGTTTGGTAAAATCTAGTTTTATTCCTGTTTTCTCCTTGATCCAATCTTCTAGTTCTCTCCAGATATGGCTAAATTTTGTACATTCGTAAAAGAGGTGTGTTATTGATTCAATGTTAGTTTTGCATAAGTCACATTTATTATCGTTCGTATATTTCATTTTATGTAGGAGGTCATTGGTGGGTATAGTCCGTTTGGCTCAAAATTGGACCGATGAATTGCAATCTAACTCGAAAACTAATAAACATAAAATACTCAATGAAACACTGATCATAATCAAAACGTCAGACCAACTCTGTGGTTTTTTTTGCAGAATTTATATCCTAAAAATAAAAAAGTTGTTTAACAAACTATCATTAAAATATTTACACAGTTCAGTATTTGTTACGAGGGAGGAGTGCAGAGAAAGGGACAGCCAGGTGTGCGAGAAAGGATGGAGTCGGCACAGCACAGGTTAATGAATCAATAACTTTGTCGGCACTTGTGCACGTGCTTCTCTAACACCTGGCTGTCCCTTCCTCTGCACTCCTCCCTCGTAACAAATAGTGATTTTTTTAATGTGGCATCTTTACGGAAAGTGTGAGCGAAGAAAATACAGCCTGATATCTGACCGAGATAAGAATATATGAATTGGGTTTATGTGCTTGTGCATAACGTTATACGCTCAACATTAAAAATGACTCGGAATAAGTGTCAAAGATGGATTTTCTTCTATGACGTCAAACTAGCCATATCTTCAAATGTAATGAAATTGCTGACATTTTAGGTGACGTCATTGCTTGTTTTATGCATTTTGCGACGTCGGAAAAAGACGACATTGGTATGCTGATTAGTATATATCTCACCTAATTTCCATTAATTGTATAAAAGGTCTCGGCTTCTACGTCAGAATTTAACACTCTTTAGACAAAACATAAAATGACTGATTTTTCCATTTAAATAGTGTCCTGAATATATCAACAATTAGATGGTTTGACAGCGTATCTTATTGTGAACAACACGCGCACCTGTTTGGCATCAATTTAACGTCAATAAAAATAATATTTCACAACACCCGAATATTTTGTTTAGGATAAGAATTTTGTTTATGATTATGTAGCTATTTCTCTTCATACGTATGCAATGAAAGATTCAAAAAGATAGCTTTTTATATATGGAACTATATATTAGAATATGGATGTAAGATTTGTCCGAATTAACACATGAGATGGTACATATATTTTTCAACAATTTTCCTGTAAATGTAGTTAGAGTTTGATATCCTGTCATCACAATATTATTTAATCGAATATGAATTGATTATATAATCGAAAACAATGATAGAGAATCATAAAACGTTTCCAACAAACGCGCACCTGGCCGATCAATATTCATAATTCTTTTGTCTATAAAACGACACAAAATTATGCAATGAACAAGACAATTCCTTTAAATATGTGTGCATATATATTTCATACCATATATAAATCATTTTCATTAATATTTCAGGTTTACATACAAGGTTGAATTAAATCACCGTTCATTAACCTGTTCATATGAAATTGCATTATTAGTCCAAATAAATTGAATATTGTACATCATAGGAACTAAAGTAGTTGCAGTTATGGCTACGTTTGATCTTCAAACACTTGTGTAAAGGTTTAGAATATGGTGTATTGCACTAAATATGTCAATTTCTTATGTAAATATGATTCAAACAATCAAAAACTTTCAAAGAATAAACCACCGTAAAGCCTATATGCACGTATGATATGATATTGAACAAGGCTAAATGTAGATACTGAAGTCAGTTTCATGAAAAAGTATCTGAACTATACGCAAAATATACACCATAATACTGACAGTGTAATCGGAAGGATTGGGCGATTGTGTCTACTCTTGTTCAACCGACCTTCACTTCAAAGAAATTGCCTAATATGTAGAACAATGTTGACGTATGACATCACTACCGCTGACCGATTTCCTACGAAAGGGCGGCTTTGCTGACAAGGGTACACAGGATTTTGCGAGGACCCTTCCATTGATTCAGGGGTCGTTTGTAAATAAATATGAGATGAAAGTAATCAGAATGATTCTGACTATCTGTGTATTGTTATATGTTTTTATCGTTTTCACTAGAAGTAAGAGAAAAAGCCAGAAATGCAGATAATTACCGTTGTCGTTCTGCGTGATTTTGCATCAGTCATGGCGTCACGCTGCACGGAAACTTTGACAATTTCTTATGAATTATCAAATCATTGCATTGTATCTATTTATAATTTCCTATTTCTTGTTACGATACTCTTTCCATGCATATTCCAAAGGAATTGAGCCATTGCAAGCAAGGAATAGACGGATGAATGTTGAAAATTTTCAGAAAATGCTACGCAGTGTAAAATCGGAATTTGTCTTTGTTTACATTTCAGACAAGCGCAGTCTTTCAAGCACAGCGTTCGTTTTCACACCCAATATGTTTCGTCTCAGTTTATCTAGACAGTTGGTATTGGTGACACAGACCAGTTGCAATTGGATTCTAAAATCTATGGAGAATTCAGTGATGCATTTTTCGAAGCTGAATATGAAATATACGTGATGTAATAGGCGTCTCAATACCTTCGCGAAACGTGATTTTGTAAACACTATCCAATATGGCGGAAAGCGCTCTACGGCGTTCGGGTAAGTGCATTTTCGAAAACATCCAAACAGATTCTAGATTCATCGGCAACGTTTCAGAATTATAATTAGCGATTTCATGTAAAACTGATATCAGTGTTCATGAATATGGTTTTTTTTAAATTCAATACTCCCAGTAATTTTCCGATTTTCACATTTTAAAACATACAGCAAATAACGCTGTGAATCGCGAATTCGTACTGTGTCAAAAATGAGCTTTGTCTAAAATAATAGTGGATGGTATCATGAAATAGGAAATTTCCCGCAGAATTCGAAACTGTGAAGTGTATTTGTGTGCGTGATATATTTTTATTTTTATTGGACTTGAAATTGAGGGTTGAAGGGGAAGGACATATATGTCCCTGTGGCATCCAGTGGGTTAATGTGGTGAGCGGAGTTCCAACTCAAACTCAGGGCGTTTACTACTATAAGGGTAACGCTATTTTTCAGGGCATAATAGAATTTTGAATATGATATAAACAAACAACAGTATCGGGTTTGAAGCATTTGCTGCTAACAACAAACGACGGGGGTCACTGACCCACTTTTTTACAAATATGGAGACGTCATAGAACAAAACACATGACGTCACTATAGAGCGTGACGACATTCGACCTTGACCTTTGCCCATACTACCCTCACTCCGGCGCAGCGATGACTTAGCATGTGACGAATGTGAGTCAGAAATATCGTCAATATTGAACCCAAGTTGAAACGAGCTGTAGGTGATTGAATATCAAGAGCTGAGATCCTTATGGCGTCACCTAACAACGGGCATGATAATGGCCCGTCGTCTAGCAATTTGGGGGCATTATCAAGCTTTATAGCTGAAATACATGGAATTATCATGAAACGGCCCTCCCATTATCAGAAATTTGCGGTCCGCTGCAAATGATATTGGACCGCTCAACCTTAACGACGGGCCACTATCAGTTCTGTTGTCAAGTGACGTCATAGTGGGTGCGTGGGCTTATGGTTTATTGTAAACCAAAAGTCACTGTGTTCTTTAATCTGATTGGTTGAAAAACGTGATCAAATGGTATTCGATTCCCGGAAATTCGCTGCGTATTATTACATACAAACATCGCTCACACCATTGTATTGTTACGTCGTCAGCTGTGATGACGTCATTAATCATATTGTGACGTAAAGTCCGAATGACGTCACAAATGAGCAGTTCCAGATGCTACCATGGGAGACAGCCGAAACGTCCGGCTGATGACATTTCACTGCTGTACCCGTCGAAGCACGGGAATATTTCATTTGAAACCTCCGGCTGATGCCGTCGGTTCCAAATGAATTCCCGTGCTTCAAATACTCAATAACACCCGGAAATTGGCAAACACGTGATGTTTATCTCCTAATTCGACATTAATTGGCTTTCGACTGTTTACAGATATTCTGGGTCAAACAAGTCAAAAAGCAACCCGAATTCCCGCTTTAAATAGCGGTAATATTGGCTTTCTTGCTGGTGCTAACCTTAACAATTGCACTATTAACGTTGTTGTTGGACCAAAACCGAACACTGACATAGTTTGACATGTTGCAGGCTATGGTCTTGTCAAAGGCCAAGGTCGAATATCGTCACTTTCTGTTGTGATGTCACTTGAATTGTTCGATGACGCAATTGCATTCGGTCAGTCAACCCCGTCAGAGGTTGGTTTTGAGTAAACTCGCAGTCAAATTCCTTCATTGTTTCCTTTTTCTTTTCAACACAAATTCCATGTATTTTAGCAATAATAACGGTAATGCTATTTTTGAGGGCATTATCATTTGCAGAAGACCTCGGGCTTCTGCAAATGATAATGCCCTCTAAAATAGCATTACCCTTATAACAGTGGCCCGCTCATTCTATCCATGACCTGAATCAGCCGCTACGACAGAAGG